GGTGAAGCTCATGGCCGTAGAGACGCCGAGCGAGAGGGGGGAAGCACGACACCTTCCTGGTGGGGGGACACACACCTGAGGCTGCAGATGTTGCTGCAGACTTCGGCTGCAGATCCGCTGCAGATGCTGCTACAGATTTTGGCGACAGGTGAAGCTCATGGCCGTAGAGATGGCTACAGCTTCGGGGCGATCGCAGCGCCACCCTCGGCGGCCAGCGGCCCGCCTCTCTGGCCGACTCCGGGCGGCCCCGAACCTAAAGCTGTGGGCGTCTCACGTCTGCCCTCGCCGGCGCTCCTCCGGCGGACCCGCCGCCGTGCTGCTTCCCTTGTTTTCCCCACCATCCTGTGGTGGTGGGGCCTCGTCTTGAAGAGACGGTGCCCCGCGTTCCTCCTTCCTTCCTCCCTTCCTTCCCTCCTCCCCCTCCTCCTACTCCTCCTCCACCTCCTCCTTCTCCTCCTCCTCCTCCTCCTCTTCTTCTTCCTCCCTCCTCCCTGCGCTTCACCCACCCAGTACAACGTTTCGTGGCCCCACGGGGAGCTCCACCGAAGGCCCCAGTGGCAGGGTTCGCATGGCGGCCCCGCGTTTTGGCGCACCCTCACATTGTTCGTGGCCCCATAGGGAGCTCCACCGAAGGCCCCAGTGGAAGGGGTTCGCATGGCGGCCCCGCCCCATTTTGGCGCACCCGTCACACGGTTCGTGGCCCCATAGGGAGTCATCGAAGGCCTCAGTGGCACGGTTCGCATGGCGGCCCCGCCCCATTTTGGCGCACCCGTCACACGGTTCGTGGCCCCATAGGTAGTCATCGAAGGCCTCAGTGGCACGGTTCGCATGGCGGCCCCGCCCCATTTTGGCGCACCCCTCACACGGTTCGTGGCCCCATAGGGAGCTCCACCGAAGGCCCCAGTGGCAGGGTTCGCATGGCGGCCCCGCCCCATTTTGGCGCACCCCTCACACGGTTCGTGGCCCCATAGGGAGCTCCACCGAAGGCCCCAGTGGCAGGGTTCGCATGGCGGCCCCGCACCATTTTGGCGCGCCCCTCACACGGTTCGTGGCCCAATAGGGAGCTCCACCGAAGGCCCCGTGGAAGGGGTTCGCATGGCGGCCCCGCGCCATTTTGGCGCACCCGTCACACGGTTCGTGGCCCCATAGGGAGCTCCACCGAAGGCCCCAGTGGCAGGGTTCGCATGGCGGCCCCGCCCCATTTTGGCGCACCCCCTCACACGGTTCGTGGCCCCATAGGAAAGTCCCCTTGCTTCGTCCCACCTGCCTTGCGGTTCTCACACTTGCGTATGGTTGGGTCTTTCGCCAGGATAATGTTCAACGCGACTCCCATTGCCTCGGAAGTTTAGGGGGGGCTCCAGCACAACCAATCCGAAACGAGGCCCTGAAAACGGACAACGGGCGCGGAGCGACTGGCCGAGGGCGAGGATGCACTGAAGGGATGCCCCTTCTGGACGCTGACCTGTAGTTCGGATCCCGCCTCATCCCAGGCCAACGCGCCGCCTAGGTCCTGGACTGGACGGGGCTGGCGGCACACATGGCCGCTTCGCGGGCTGAGCAGGGCAAGAGGAGCAGGAGGAGAAGGCATCGGCGGCATCGGGTCTAGCCCCGCTCCAGCGAAGCAGGGGAGGCGGGGGCGGCTGCAAGGTTGAGGCAGCGGCAGACGGCAGATGCGTCTTCGCCCGCGAAGTTGGCCCCTGCTGGCCTCCAATGAAGACCAAAAGGCAGGGCCTGGGGCGGCACTGCACCCACCAGGTAGGCTGGGGAAGAGAAAGCCGCGAACAGCGCGCTCAGAAAACCACACAAAGGAACAATGCAACCGCACAAGCATACAATCGGACTTAGCATGAAGGCCGCCAGTCCTGAATGAGAAGGGCTTCCTGGAAGCTCTGATCATCTGCCGGGCGCCGGGACCGTCACGAACGCCTCAGGATGAACTGCCCCATGGGAAAGCCCCTGGGTGAACAGCCAAGCTGCTGCCTTGAGCCACGCCAGAGAAAGAACGGAGCGCCCATTTCGGCCCCAGAAGCGCCAGGGAGAACAGGAGTTCGCGGAGGAGGCGGAGGAGGAGGAGGAGGAGGAGGAGGAGGAGGAGAAGGAGGCAGCCGCCCGTCGCGTCTCCCCCTGAGACCCACGGGCCCCCGGCGTGAGGGTCAGGAGGCAGCTCAGGGCTGGTCCTGTGAGCCTTCATGGGGGCCTCTGTGGACCTCCGCGGCCCTGGCATCCACGAGATACCGATTGGATTTCGTCCAGGTTCGACCACCCCGCACCAGCCTCGAACTTATCCCTATCCCTAAGATTGACACGCCAAAAGGCAATAACAATCTTAGGGATTCGCCCTCAAAAAAAAGGGAATCCCTAAGATTGGCATCGTGATGAGGAGATGCCCAGCATCGGGATAGGCATATGTTTCAGGCTGGTAAACCCCGTACCCTGTCGCCCAGGTGCCGGCAACCTCCGACGACGTCCGCACCCCCCCCCCCCAAAAAAAAACGCACTAGATTTTTTGGGGCGAGGCCTAAGTCGGGCGTGTCCCCCTACAGGGGGATTGTCGACGAAACATGAAAAATACACCAAAACATGGTCTGGGGATCATTTTTGCTCGTATTTTTTGACCCTTTTGGAGTATGTTTTAATTCTTCGTCGAACAGCCCCCTGTAGGGGGACAGGCCCGACTGCAGGCGAGGCGCCCGACGGAGGACCGCACAGAGGCCGCGCAGGAGCGGAGGCGGCCCGGGCCGCCCCCCCCCCTTTCCCTATACGCGGCGGCGGGCGCGCGCCGAGGCCCTTCCGCGGGCGCGGGGCCTCCTCGTGGCGCGAGGCGAGCGGGCCTCGCACAGATTTGGCGGTGCGCACAGGGGGGAAGAGGAGGAGGAGGAGGAGGAGGAGGAGGAGGAGGAGGGAGGAGGAGGAGGAGAGAGGAGGAGGAGGAGGAGGAGGGAGGAGGAGAGGAGGAGGAGGAGGAGGAGGAGGAGGGGAGGGGAGGAGGAGAATAGGAGGAGGAGGAAGAGAGAGGAGGAGGAGGAGGAGGAGGAGGAGGAGGAGGAGGAGGTGGTGAAGGAGGGGGGGTGGAGGGAGAAGGAAGGGCTTCTTAGAAGGAGGCTGCTTCTTAGAAGGCGCCGGCATGACATCTATACAGAAGGCCCGCGCCTTCTGAGAAGCAGGGGCGCTTCCAAGAAGCCCTCCCCCCTCCCCCCCCCCCTTTGCGCGTGGCTGAGAGACAGCTGTCGTGCTGGGGGAGAGCGGCGGGGAAGATGCGGGGCGCGACTGCGCAAGGCGCACCTTCCACCCACGAGGCGAGATCGATGGTCCGACCACTCCTCCCAGCCCCGTCCCCCCAACCCGGCGCTCGTCCTCCTGAGCCTTCCTCCAGGACCAACTCTGCGGAACACCTCGGGGCCCGTTTCTCCCAGGACCAGCGTGCTCCATGGCGGCCTCCCCGCCACCCGCAGGGAGGGGGCCGGCGCCGGCGCAGAGGCAAGAACGCTCACGGATAGCTCAGAGCTGAAAAAGGCTTTGAGATCAGAAGCCGGCACCGCCAGGCCGCCTCGGAGCTCGTTCCGGCTTCCGCCTGGAATACCCGCAGCGGGCTGTGCGAGCCGGCAGCGTGTCCCTAAAGGCATTTTTGTCACTGCTTCTCAATACGTCTGCCGTGCAGATCTCCAGCTCCGTCGGAGCTCCTTCTAAGCGCTTGCAGGGCTCTTTCCAGAGGCTTTGGAAGGCATTTTGTGGCGCTCCGCTATCCGAGTTTTGGACTCCACAGGTGTGGTGCCTGCATGGCTTCCTGTTTGTTGCTCGCCCTCCTCGTGCTCCTTTCCGCGCTGCGCCAACGCCAGCCGTCGAGCAACCGCATCTTGCCACAACAGCAGACACGTAGGATACCAAGTCTTGATCCAAGACATCTCGGGGCACACTCTTCGTCGCGGCTCGAGCTTCCTGAGGTGCCCCAGGGCTTCTGCGGGCCGCCCCCCAGGGCCCTTGGGGGATAAAAGAAACGTCCGTGGGGCACCTGCTGGCTGGTCAGACTCTTCCGCGCGTGCCCGCTGCAGGAGATGGGAAGCGGCCCGACTCAGGCGGGGGGGCCTCACTTCGTGGCCCGATGAAGCGTGCGGCAGCAGGCAGAGCATGGGCGAAAAGTATGGCCCGGAGTCCTCGTTCTCCTCGCTTCCCTCCTCCGCTCTCTTGCCGGCGCCTCCCCTGCCCGGCGCCAGGGCCCCCCGCCTCCTGCCTGAACCCCGCGCTCCCGCCTCACTCGCACTCCTCCTGCTCCACGTCTTTGACGTTTTCCTCCTCATCCTCCGCTTCCCACTCTCCTTCGCCCTCAAGGACGGCGAATTCAGGCCACTGGGCATGGAATCTGTCTTCTGCCCGAACAAGAGGCCCCGGCAAAGCCTGCAGGCTTGGCACGGAATTTGTCCTCGTCCTCGGCATCCCGCCCTCCTTCGCCCTCGAGGGTGACCGCCCCTGCGCAGCCACAACTGGCCCGAAGGCTGGAGGGCAGGGGCACGAGGCGCCTAGCGCGCGCCAAGATGTCAGGGCGCCTGTGGTCCAAGCCACAGTCCGCACATCGATGAGACACACGCGTCGTTCATTTCTACTCGTGCTCGTTTCTGACTGCGCTCGTTTCTAACTGTTCCTGGCCCCCTAGTGGCCAGGAACAGGCCCAGGATAGAGCGATTAGAAATGAACGGATCTTGGCCCCCAACCCAAACAAATCAAAGAACCTTCGAATCATCAGAAATGGGCAGTGCGTGCTGCTATCACAGATCTAGAGATACATCCTTCATCCGCTCCTCGCTTCGCATGGTGCCTCGGGGCTCCGCGGCCCCATCGGGGGGCAATAAGCTGTCGCGGGGCACCCGTTGGTGGGCCAGCTTCTCCAGACAGCACGCAAAATGTACTCACACACACACACACACTCGAGCGATGCACAGGGCGCCTTGCTTCCAAGGCTCTTCCCTGCAACCGGTTTGGACCGTGCCTGGGACCCTCCCAGCGACCACCGGAGACGCCGCGGTGCCACGTGCTCCATGAGTGGGGTCGGTCACGGCCTTAGAGGCCTGTCGATCCAGGCCAGATCAATGACTCATGCCATCCTCCTCCTTTTACTTGTCCTACTCTCTCCTATTCCTCCTCTCTCCTCCTCTCTGCTCCTCTCTCCTCCTGTTCCTCCTGCTCCTTCTCCTCCTCCTCCTCCTCCTCCTCCTCCGGCTCCTCCTCCTCCTCCTCCTTCTCACTCCTTCCCTTTACACTTGCATCTCCCTCTCTCCTCTCTCTTCCTCTTCTTTCCTCTTTTCTTATCTCTCCTTTTCCTCCCCCACGTCCTCTCTCCTCCTCTCCTCCTCCTCCTCCTCCTCCTCCTCCTCCTCCTCCTCCTCCTCCTCCTCCTCCCTCTAGTCCTCCTCCTCCCTCTAGTCCTCCTCCCTGCTCCTCGTTCCTCCTGAGCCCTCCTCTCTCCAAACTCCTCTCTCGTCCTCTCCCCTCCTCTTCTCTTCTCCCTCCTCCCCCCTGAGCGGCCCGAGCTGCTCGGCAACAAGCGCGCGCCCCTCTCGAAAAAGCAGCGCTGCTTGCGCTCCAGGCCCTCCTTTTGCTCCACCCCTGCAGGGACAAGCGGGGTGCCGAACACGCCGCGTGCCGCAGGTGCGTTCATGTAGGATTAGGTCTGGCCTGTCCCCCTACAGAGGCATTTCGGAAAAAAAGATCTTCAAAAAAGAACCCCTAAAGAGTCGAAGAAATCATCAAGAAATGGTCCACATATTATGTTTGTTATAGCTATTTTTGAACACTCCTCCTGTAGAGGGACAGGCCCGACTCAAATGTAGGGGTCTCCCGCCCACGCGGCTGCCTGCGGCGCGCCGCATGTGCTGGCGCGGCCATGGGGTCCCGCCCACGGCGCGGCACTCCCGCCCATGTCTCGCGCAAACCTGGATCGCCCGACTTCGCGCAGCGCGCTGCGCGCTGCGCGACGCGCGGCGATGTCCGCGCCCTCGCGCCCTCGCGGCGCGCCCTTGGAGACGTGACTGCCTTCGCGCCCCCGCGGGTGACCTGGGCAGCCGCCCGACGCTGATGCTCAAAATGCGGCACTTACTCCCCGACCGCGAGGTCCCCGCCGTGGGCTGTGACATGGGCGCCGCCGGAGTCTCGGAGCCACCGCAGGGTCCCGCCCATGAGGATCCGACCACGGACTCGGGTGCCGCTGGCTTTACGATCCGGCCATCGGGTCTCATGTTGCTCCGTGATGCTTTGTGTTGTTGTGCTTCTCGTTGCATTGCACTGGAGCATACATTGCACCAATTCACTGTTTGGGGGCCGCGCTGGAATCATGCTTCGATGTTGTTCCGGGAGTCCAAGATGATGCTGGTGAAGGGGATCAGGGCATCCTGAGGTCGGCGCCATCGTCATCATGCAGTTGCCAATGCTGTTGCGCTTCCGCCGGCTGTTCTCACACTCCTCGGTAACGGCCTCGGAGGCAGCTTCCGATCCAGGCCTATGGAAGGCCTGGTGCTCTTGTCTTACACAGCTCCTTGGATCACGATCGAATGACAGCTCAGGACACCTCCGTTGACCGAGCGGCCGAGCCAGCGTGGAGAAGCTCGCTTTCATGTAAGTGAGGGCACCCGCGAGCGAGGGCAGCTGCGAGAGTAACTCGTCCATGAGAAGGTACCAGAACACCAGGAGGACGGAGGATGTGGAAAACGGCGAGCACATCTACTGGACCACCTGAGCATATCCACAACGTCCCGATCACCACGCATACCGTCCAGCTCGATAAAACGGCCCACGTACACGTGCATGCGTTTGTGATGGTACTCCAGATGTGGTCGCACTCAGGGGGTGCTGCATGGGTTGCCTCAGAAATTGGACGAGTCAGCCGAGTTTTCGCCTGGTGCCCGCCCGTGGGCGCCTCGTGCGTTGAGCGTATCAGCCGAAGTTTCCGCCTGGTGCCCGTCCGTAAGCCTCGTGGGCGCCACGTGCTCTGGGCGGATCGGCCGAGGGTTCGCCTGGTGTCCGCCGGTGGGCCCTTTTTTTTGCCTCGCGGACAGAAGGCGAACGGCGCGGCCGCCGGCGCCCCAGCACGGTGCCGACTTCATCGGGCACCTTTCGGGGATGGACAGACCCCCCTTTAGCAAAACGTGGTTTAGTGAAAACGACCTGAGGCCCAAACCTGGCGGGCGCAAGCCTGGAAAATGACGGCCCCGGCGCCCCCCTTTGACAAGCGAAAACGGACAATCCACCAATCGACGTGTCACTGTTGGGGGTTCTGTGCAGCTGCGCGATGCGGCGCGCACCCGAGGAAGCGAATCCGGCCTCGCTGCCCCCGCCGGTGGGCGCACCGTGGACGCCTCTTCGGCGCCCCCGGGGGCCTGGGCGGGCCCGCCGAGGCTCTCCGCCCGGTGCCCGCCCGTGGGCACCTCGCGCGCGGGGCCGACGCACAGCTTATTACAGCACGCGGAGCTGGCTTGACAGCCTGCACGCGAGCTGGCACCACCTACAGGCGGCCTTGATTGGACAGGACACGCGAGAGGACACAGGACCCTCCCGAGGGCCACATCGCCACAGGAACGTAGCAGGCGTTGGTCGCGAGACGCAGGACACAGAGGGACCCTTGATCTGGCAGGGTCGAGCAACTCATCCGGGCCGACTGTAGTTTGCATCACCTGGCGTGCACCACAACGTGCCCGTTTGCGCCTCGCGGCCGCCATCTGTCAGTGCAGTTGTTTTCAGCAAAGACCGCGCGGCAGTCCAACTGCGGGTGCGTCCCAGGGCCCTAGGACTAGGGCCAAAACAGCGGCGGGCAGCGTGCATGCCACAAAACAAGACAAGCGTGTACAACATACACACATGGTGGCACGGGCGGCAGAGGGGCAGGGGAGTGCACTCTTCACACTGGGTGAGTACAATGCTGCCCCGATGCCGCTCCCTCTGAAAGGGCAACGCTGCACGCAATTATAATGTATATCAGCCCACGGGCCGAAACACCTCAAGCAGATGCGGCCTGAGGCTCGAAATATAAATATGAATGTCTAGATTCACCAATCCAGACTGTCAACTCAAAAGATATGCATGAGACACCTCAAGCAAGGTGCGGCCTGAGGCTCAAAATATAAATACAAGAATATGAATATCTGGATACACTACTCCAGACGATCAACTCAAAAGATATGCGTACATCACCGTAGCCCTCACTAGGTCCATCAGCAGCTGCAATCAGGACCTCACGGGCTCGCAGGCCCTGGAACGGCGACCCGACGCTGGGCCTTCCGCTCCTTGGCTCGCTCACGCTGTCCGCGGCGCAGCCGCAGACGGTGTGCCTCCTCATCCTCTTGCTCAGCAGTAGGCACCATGCTGAACAGGCCGTGGCGGAGGAACTGCGATAGTACCTCGTTAGGCTGCACGGCTTTTGTCAACACATCCGCTAGCATGTGGCTATTAGGCAGCCACTTGAACTTGATGGCCTCCTGCTCTATCAAATCCTTGGCCACCAGCAAGTCAATGAGGGTCTGCCGAGACACCGGCATCGACCCGATCTTGGACGTGTGATCGTAGAGCGACTTCGCATCCGTCACGAGCGCCCCTGGAACCTTCAGCGCCAGCCTCCAGTCCCCTTGCAAGGGCGGCTCCCCGTACAAGATTGCCTCAATCAGCAGCCTGAGGTAAAGCTGCCGATCCAAAGCCACGGACATAGCCGCAGATTCTGCGGCCATCGTAGATCCAACAACTCGTGTAATAGTACTGCTCTGAAACTCCACTAGACAGCATACAGTTAGCTCCTTCAAAACTCGGGTGTCCGTAATCATACTCATAAACCCCATCTGGCTCTTACAGCCGGGTTCCTTCGCAAACGAAGCGTCCATAAGCGTGAGCACCTGCAAGTGCTCGATGTCCACGCGGCGGATCCGGAGAGTCGCAAGACCTCTCTTGTCGTAGTCCTGAAGCCGGTCGATGATGTCATTGAGCACTCGCAGGCGCAGCAACCTCCGACCTTTCGGATCCTTCTGTGCGAGCGCCGAGACACTATACGCGAGTTGTGGCACCACGCGTGCGACAGGCCACCGCACCTTCTGGAGCAAGCTCCGGTAGTCGTGGTGCTCCTCGGGAGTCATCTCCCGCTCCTCGTTGTCACCCCTTGCAAGGGGGTGCTTCGTCAGCTTGCCGATGTACTCGCGCATGCTGATCTCGATGTGATCGGGGTGGCGCCACCACTCCTCACCGAGATAGGCGACTGCCTCCTTGTCGTTGCCCTTCTTCCAGTGCTTGATGTTGAAACGACTGTTGATGTTCGCCTTCACCTCCTGGTACTGGGGATCGTGTGGGTCTCCAAACAGCATGCCGTCATCGACGTGCAAGGTCAACATAGCGATCAACTTGTCGTTCATTCGATAGACGAAGACAGCTCGAGCACAGCGCAGCTCCACGAAACCGACCTCGTCCGTCAACACCTGGCGGGCTCGGAGATACCACAACCGAGGCGCCTCAGTCAGACCGTACGCCCCTTTCAGCAAGCGAAGCAACGCATAAGGCCGCACGGCTGGCCATCCAGCACCGTCGACGGCTGGAAGCCCGTCCTTAGGAGCCCTCACATACAGCTCCCGTTCCAGCTTCAGCCCGGACAGGAACGCAGTCGCTACGTCGAAACACTCGAATGTCCAATCCATCGCCATTGTGATAGACGCACACACCAGCACAGCCAAAGGGGAAGTAGTAGGCGAATCCGTCCTGAATAGACCAAGCTGCGGATCGAGATGGCCAGGGATGATCAAGCGAGACTTCGCCTCCAGCTCCGGCCCTCGTCCCCGGTTCGTGCGAACCGAACGCATGGGCACCGAGATGATCTTGTCCTTCGGGATGCTCTTCTCCTCCTCCTCGGTGACCAGCTCGACCGTGTTGTTGGCGATCCATTGCCGCCACTCGGCGGCATCGGCCTCGTCGAACTTAGCCTTCTCGTGCTGGTTGAAGCGACGTGGGTCTAGCTCCTTCGCGTTCTGCTTCATCACGAGTGCGAACACGTCGTGCTCGTACCGGGCCTCCTGCAGCCATGCGTCATACACAGATGACACGTTGATCCATTCTTCGTAAGTCATCGGCTGTCGTACAAGACCCTCCGGAGTGTCCAAATAGTACACCCCTTGTGCATGAGCGTCCGGCTTGTCGTGGTAGAAAAGCGTGAGACCAACCCAGCTGTCCTCCGTGCGCTCGTTGTTACGGTTCGCGCCGTCGTCCTTGTAGGCACACTGGCCCGTGGCGGAGAGCATCACCGAGAGGCGATTGCACTCCCGGTGGCGGTCGTGATCGTAGAGTCTCCGTCGTGGCTCTCGGTGTACACGTACTCCTCGTACGACCTTCTGAACGAGCGTGGAGACACCATCCAAGGCGTTCTGGTCGAACCACTCCTGAGGTCCCGAGTGCACAACGGCGTTCATGGCCACTTCGCGGAGGGCCGGCAAACCACTCGTAGGAGCAGCCTGCAGACGCGTCTTCTTGATGCAAATCGGCACGTCATCTACCAGGAACTTCCGCTTTCGCTCCAGCTCGAAATCGTCTCTGGGAATCGGCGGCACCGAGGGGCCGCCAGAGCCCGATGCTCCCGGAGAAGCCTTCGGGTACATCTCAGAGGATATCCGCCCTGGAGGGGAACGAGAACGCCCCCTCTTCGGAGGGGGAAGCTGCGGCAGCTGCTGCTGCTCAGGCGGCTCCTCCTCCTTGGCCTGTGCCTCAATGGCGTCCAGGGCCCTCAGGTCCACACGAGGCTGCCTGGGCCCCTCGAGCTCCCCATGTCGGCCACGCTCCTTCTTCAAGAACGTCTTCTTCACCTTCTGAACCTTCACCTTGGGCGTGACGTCCACGATGTCGTGGTAAGCGCGGTCATCTCGCTGCTGCGTCAATCGCGCGTCCGTCTGGATGGACTCCGCAGCTGCGGCCTCCTGGGAGGAGGCGTGCCGGAGCTGCTCACGAGCAACAAGTAGCACGTGACCACGCCAGGATACGTAGTAACGGCTGTTGGACTCCTTCGCGATCACAGTCGCAGGACCCCGCCATCTTTCAGGATCTTGCCGACGACGTCCCTTGAACGGATTCGGTGCCCAGAAATACACCCTCGATCCTGGGCGCAGATCACCGACGACCGTCGGCGCCTGTCGTAGCAGCGCCCTCCGCACCTTGTCCGTCGCGTCGCGCTCCAGCAACATCATCTTTGCTGCGGTGCGGATTTGGGACGAACGCCAAGCTATGCCCTTGGCGCCGAGGACCGACATGAGAACCTCATCGTCGTCCCTGTTAGTCACCTCCGTAAAGTTCAAGATCCGCCCGAAGACAGCCTGCTCCGGGGTCAATCCATTGCGGCTGATCGTCGAGTTCTTCGCATAGATGATGGCAGCCAGGGCCACAGTAGACATCGACTTGCCCTGGACGTGGAACTCGCGCACCACCTTACCCCAGATAGTGCCGAGCAATCCTCCGTGGCG